GGTTTTATACACACACACACACACACAGACACACACACACACACACACACATATATGTTTCCTCCTAAGAAGCTGTCTTGTATCAGACATAAATGTATAGGTTTCCTTTAATTACTTATCTCCTTTCACATTCTATAATTATTATTTATATGTACAATATCTGTAGTTCTTTCTTACTCTTCTTAAAATTAATTCCTTCTTTATTCCATTAGAAAGGTTATGGTAGGCCAGCACAATATCTTTCAATTATACACTGCTCGTCACAATAGCAGCAAGAAATATTTTGAAAATCACGGTAGCAGTCTTCTCAAAATCAAATTTTCAGGTCAGGCATCACTTTTAATTTCTTGATTACTTGTTATGGCCTTTTCATCTACAAATTTACCTAAACTATAAATCTACTTACATATTTAGTCTAGAGTCCTAAAATCAACTCTCCAAAGTTTCAAAGAATACTGTTTTACCTCATATTAATATTCTAGGTTGTTAGTGTTTCATTCAAAAACAAAGAATCCTTGATCAACTGCCAGATGCAAGGAACTGTTCCAGGTACTGAATATGCAGTGGTAGACAAGGTGTAAGCTTTAAAGTCTATGTTTATCTTGCATATAAAATTAATACTTTCATTGATTGTGCATTCTCTAGTCTTATCTTTTTAGTATGAAAAGTCTTAACTCCTAAGGTGGCAGATGTACGCTTCTATTAATGCTATAAAGCACAATTCACTAAGTCACCTCCTTGATCATTTTAGTTTTGATTTTAGAAAACAGCCACCAATCCACAGTTTAGCTAGAAGTAGTACCTGCATACAGATGAGTCAGAGTAGAAGCCACTGTATTTTTGGAAGCACAATTTAAAATACACTATCACTGACTTCTGATCTATTGCTTAACATTCTTGCCTCAAATCCAGAAAGCTAAAATCTAGGTCACAGCTACTTAAAAAAATCTTAAGTCATATAAAATGTTCTGTTAAGTTGAAAACTTGTATCAACTTTAGCTTTTTCTACATTCCTCACCTGCTCAATTTCCTGATAACTAGTGTCTTCCATTCTAGCCACCTTTGTTCCCAAAATTAGTCTAAAATAATTCAGGTATATGGTCTATAAATATACCAGTTACGCATATTCAACACACATTCCTATGAAAATTTGAGTCTGATACTTTCATGATTAAATGCCTTAAGAGACTTTACCAAATTAACTGTTTGGAAAGCAGACATAATTTCACAGAGGAAAATATGGACAAAAGAGCAAGTAAATTATATTTAATAACTATTTAGTAATTAGGATTAAACATTGGCAGCTTTATTAGTTGAATATGCCTCATTTCTATCTTCTCACAAATAACCTTGATGATTACATACAAATTTTGAGATGTTTTTAGAAAGGAAAGTATATGGAAAGACCCCTACTACGTACTGAGAATTTACCACAAATTTGGTCTCATGAAGTATGTCACATACCTTATATAACTTAATATTTCTAATACTACTAGAATACAGGCATAATTACATCATTTTAAAGATGGAGGAAATTGAAGTTTAGAGAGTTGACTTAAGTAGCCCAAAGCCATTCTTCTAGTTAAGCATTTGAACCAAGGTCTTTTGAATTCAAAGTCGATGTGCTTAACCATTAATGTCATACTTCTTCCCACAGAATTTTTATTTTTTAGGTTAAACACGTTTGGTTACATTAAACTCAAGGACACTGAAGTACACTGAACTTCTGGGGGAACATGTCTTTAGGGGGATTCAAGTTTGATATTAGCTTGTTATCTAACATAGCCAAGTGGAACTATTAAAAATCAACCGCAGTGAAAAAGGGCAATGTCTGAGTATGGTTTACCATGTAATGAAGTATTTATACAAAATTTTTATAATTTATTCAACAAAATTGTGAGGTAAAAAGTAGCACTGGCCCTATGGCTCATGTGTGCAACCATGGACCTAGAGGTATTAAGTAACATGTTCTTGATCACAGAAGCAGCAAAAACATGTGTGTAGGTGCTGGTGATATGGAATCAGGTACAACAGTCTGTGGAGTCGGCATTCAACCAGTTTTTCACTCCACTGACAATGGTCTGGTCCTACAACTACAACATGGGAACCACAATACTCCTACTACTTTATCCAGTACAGGCCAGCAGGAGACATTGCCCACAACATCTTTGCCAGAACTGGCACTGGCAATGACATTGCCAAGGCTCCTGATCCATACCGGTGAAAAGTCTCAAATTGGCCTCACTGTGCCTTTTTCTCACCTCCAGGTTCCCCTTCTTCCCCATCCTTATGCATTCATAAGCCCTCTGGCTATCAAAAGCCTGGCATAGAGCTGCCTTCTTCCCATTAGAATAATATCCACTAAAATAAACTTATTATCTTCCTTCACTCCTCCCACATGTTTAAAAAACTGCCCAAAAGTTTTTAAAAAAATGATAAAAGCAATCTAATACAACGAATTTGTCTAACCTAAGGAGCATACTGTAGAAATTTTATGAGGAAATAAATAATCTAATGGCAGACACTGTTAGCATTTTGATATTTGCAATTTTTAAAAGCAGCATTGTCTTTCTTACTGTGCCCTTTGAAAAACAGAAGTCAAGAAAGAATTCAATTGAACATTAACTGTACTGGAGAACACAATTATCACACTAAAATTTTAGACACTGTGATGAAATGAAGATTTAGAAGCAGCATGGAACTGCCCCTCCTCCATCCCTCCGAAAAAGTCTTGTCTTTTTTGGGGTGGGTGGGGGGATGGTGGTGAGGAAAGTCGTATTATAGAATTCCTTAAAACACTCATGAATTTCCATTTATTCTACTCTGATCAGTGCTGGGTCACTCTCTCTAAAAATCAAAATCCCAGAATAATCCTGGCAAATCACTTGAATGATGGCCAATCTCTGCAGTTAAAACACATTCACACACAAATACAATTTGAAATCCAAAATGCATTTGCTTCACTAATCATTTTATGCTTCAATCCACTTTCACCTAAAACATGTGACACGTGAACAGCAAAGAGTAAAATTTCATTGCCCTCACAAAATTTAATGAAGTGAGGAGAAAGCTTCTCAGAAAGAATGCCCATAGTCCAACCCCACCCTCTTGTTTTTGGAATGATGTAAAGCAGGTGCTCATCACTATATTAAGCCTTCAATAAGATAATTTCTATGCACAGGAATTGTGCATAGAAATTATAAACTTGATATATATAAAGTTTATATCAAGTCTTCTTAGATGATAGTGGGGTACAGGGCAAAAGGTTTCTGAGTTAGCAGACCTGGGATCAAGTCTTGTTTCTGCCACTTTTTTTATGACCATGTACTGAATTTCTTTCGTGCGTCATTTAACTTCTGAAAGGGGCATGCTTCTCTTTGCCTTACAGGGCTCTTAAAAGAATTGTGCATAATGATTTATATGAAAGCACATGGTAAACGGAAAGAAAATACCTTTACATAAATACTAGTAATTATTATTACACTAGATTCCCACCCCCTCAAAAAACACTTTTATTTTCTTTAATCAGAACAGGCCAGGCCAATGGACCAAAGTGGACAGCAACCTTGGGGCAGGTGGCCCCAAGGCGCAGGCCCAGTCCAACTTCAGGAGGGAAGATAGCCTGACTGGGGTGGCAGTGTGTGTAGGAGGCCTTAGAAGCTCCGTCAAGTTGGTCTGCCATGACTTAAATCTACACATGAAGACTAAGGGCATTTTAAATAAAGTTCTATTTTTCACTTCAACATACTGTTTAAGTCATAAAATCTTGAAAATCTGAGTTAATTGGAATGAAATGAAAGGCGTGGCAGATAAAGCAAACTGAGACAAAAACAGACTCACATGACCATCAAAAGATGAGACACAGAGCTTGGGCAGACATAAATACAAAAATCATTAATAATAAAAAGTAGTAGGAAAGTGAAAATATAACGACAGAAAAGGAAAGCAATTATCAATACTAGCTTTAGAGATGAGACAGGCCTGGAGAGCTGAGGCAGTGAGAGTGTGATGCTAAAATAATCAAACAAGCCACAAAACACAATATACAATACTAACGAAAGATATCCTTTAATGGAACACAAAGTGCCTTTTCTCTACTGCTTGAAACTTTAGAGAGTAGAAAAGTGAGAGTGTTTCAAGAGATTTCTAAAAGGTTGCTTACAGTATTGGCAAAAAGCGAATATTCAAAATACCACATTGAAGTGTAAGCATATTTTAAAAAGAGCCTACTGTAGACGACATTTAAAATACCGCCCCCCAAATAAACAGCCAGCTAGGGACTTGTAGAGGACCCGAAGAGTGTCATGTGCATAAACGATCCCGAGAATGGGCCGCGGGCACCACGCAAACTTTCTCTTGTGGCGAGCCCCCAGAACAAAGCGCCTTTCTCACAGGGGATGAGGACATCAGCGCGACCCTGGAATGAGACAGACTCTCGGCTAAAGCTCCCCTCCTCAGCTAGGGCGTCCCACCCTGCTCCATAGACTCTTTTCCCAGGTCAGGTCCGCCACTGCAATTCCAGCCCCGGCATCACGAAGGCAGCCCCTTCGGGTCCTAGCAGCCCTAGCTCGGTCTCGCAGGCCGCCGCCCCAACCCGGAGCTTCATTCATTGACCCCAGCGGAGGGGCGAGACCCAGCCGAGAGATGGGTGTGCGCGGCTCGAGGCGGGGGGCCCCGGGGCAGGTGCTTACTCTGCGTGTCCGTTAAGGAGATCATGGCTGCAGTAGTGAGGACAGCGGCGACACAACCTCGGAAAGCCCAGGGTGGGAAACTGAGTCGGGAGAAATGAAGCCGGGAAACAGCCCAGGCGAGAGCCGCCACGTCTTCCGGAAACACGCAGCCACCCTCACTGCCGCTTTAAGACCGCGTCCTATTGGCTAAACCTGCTTCCAATCTCAACCAATAATTCGCAATCTTGTTCGGTGGCGCTCATGGTGGCCACACCCCTTGACCAATTAGAGAAGGTTGTTATTTGCGATTGGCCGAACTGACCGACCCGGAAGGGTGGATGCTTTCAGCTAGGTGGCGGGAAGATTTTACTCCAGAGCGGCAGAAAGAGGTGGTTAGCTGGCTCGAGGCCTGGGTGCTTTGGGAGTCCGAGCTACGAGAGTCGGACACCGGGGAGTCAGACACCGGAGAGTTGGACTGGGCTCTGGGATAACTCCTGTTACAGCTCTGAAGGGTAAAGGGTGTGCGCTTCTTGAGCCTTCCCTTTCCTGCTGGAGGGCGAGGCCGGTCTGTTGCGGATCACTTCCTTTCGCCCAGGAAGAAACTGGAACGTTACTCACTGCTCTGCTCTGAGAACTCCGGCCTTTAGGAGCGCGTTCGCCTACCGACTGGTCAGTTGAGCTCCCCATTCTTTTCTATGCAGGAAGCTTGACCACCAAAGCCTGTTTATTAGCAGCCGCCATTTGTTAATAATACTACTGGGGATGTTTCTTCCATCCTCTACTTCACCGTAGCGTAAGGAAGGATGTTATTAATATTATACTATTGCTTCTAAGTGCAGGTGGCGGGGAGAGAGAGGATTTAGCCTATGGTACCTCAGTGGTGTTTCCTGCAACATTGATGACTGGCTGTGGCCCTGTAAAATTTTCCTGTGGATGCCTAGCTTATAGACCTGCTATAGTTCAATCTCTGGATACATTTTATATTGAGATATCTTTTGCTATTAAATCACATCATTTTGGGAAAGAGCAGTCTTTTAACAGCATAATCAAAGGAGTTATTTGAAATCGTGGGATCGGGGGTGGAAATTGGATATAGACTATTATCTTTTCATAAGGGTGGAAACAGCCCCTGCTTTCAGCCTTAGCAAACCTGAGCCCTCACTGTATCAAGGCATTTTGCTGGGCTGTGAGGATACAAAGGTGAAGAGATTGAACCCTAGCCCTGGCAAAGGACCTTACATCTGTGGAAGGAATGTTACATTTTCATTACATGAAGGGATGTTTGTATAGGTAAAGAATTAGAAGTCCTTGGTTTACTTACCTATTTAGCTATCTTTTAAGTGTGGTTATTCCACATTCTTTAGCAAGGCAAAAAAAAAAAGAGAGTCAGCCTATCTTTCCAGCCTAGTGGTGGCTTCAGAATTCTGTGTAGGAAGGGCGTAAGGTCAGCAGTCTAAGGGTGGGTGGTGCAGAAGTGACATTTGGAGAGCATTCTTAATTTTAGAAAACGTCCGTATTAGAGAGATTGGAGAAGTGTTTATAGGGTAATGGGGAATTTAAAGTTTCTGCTCTAAGCCCTATTTTCCACTTGTCCATATGCATGCTTAGGTTTTAGTCATTCATTGATATTTAGAGTTCATTAATACAAACCATTCCCCCCCACACCTCTAACCGCGTTGTATTCTCTTTTAAAATCTAGCTTTTCTATAGAATAACAATTTATCTTTTAAGATTGAGCTTATATTGCAATTCTTTAAAGCAAGTGCTCAATAAAATGTTAGGTAATTAATTTTATTATTTATGTTGCTGTATTTTGCTTAATCTGGTATATTTGGATCTATCCAACTTATTTATAAGATTGCTGTCCTCCCAGTTTTGCAGGTAGGGAAAGAGGCTTAGAGGAACAGCATATGCTACTTTGCCTAACACAGTAATTTAGTCACATAGCAATTGGTGCTAGAACTGTTGAATGTTCACTGGTTTTTGTTACATTATTTTGTATCTGGTGGATGTTTGCTAAGTGTTATTGATACTGTACTTGTCATGTGTACGTTTATGTGACTTTGGTCACTTCTCTGAAATCTAGAGTCAATTCTGAGTGTTGTGAGTTTTTAAGCTAAAATCTAGAGAGTTTTCAAAAAAAAATTAGTGTCAAAAGAACTATGCGGTTCTTATATGAAAGGTCACTGCAATATATAATTTACTTTCTAACATTTTCCATACTAAGGAATGAAGATTACTGTTGACTGAGCATCATTAATAGTACTATTTTTAAAAACTTGTTGTCATTGTTGTGCTTTTATTTTTAGAAAGAAATTTGGATCTCCAATTCAGTCTTAGAATGGCGTCCGTTTCAGGTTAGTAACAGTGACTACATTTTCTTGTTCCTTCTGTTCTATTATATTTGAGAAAAGATGTTTGTTTTAAAAATTCTGATTATAGAAATGATTTTTTTTTTTTTCAGCTTTTTCTGTTTGTTTCTTTGAGACGAGTCTCGCTCTGTCTCCAGGCTGGAGTGCAGTGGCGCAACCTCGGCTCACTGCACCCTCTGCCTCCTAGGTTCAAGCGATTCTTCTGCCTCAGCCTCCTGAGTAGCTGGGAATACAGACATGCGCCACCACACCCAGCTAATTTTTGTATTTTTAGTAGAGACGGGGTTTCACCGTGTTGGCCACGATGGTCTCGGTCTCTTGACCTCGTGATCTGCCTGCCTCGGCCTCCGAAAGTGCAGGGATAATGGTGTGAGCCACCGCCCACAGCCTTTTCAGCATTTTTTTTTGAGACTGAGTCTCACTCTTTTGCTGAGGCTGGAGTGCAGTGGCACAATCTTGGCTCATTGCAACCTCTGCTGCCTGGATTCAAGCGGTTATCCTGCCTCAATCTCTCCAGTAGCTAGGATTACAGGTCCCTGCCACTGCGTCCAGCTAATTTTTGTAGTTTTTAGGAGAGATGGGTTTCACCATCTTGGCCAGGCTTGTCTTGGACTCCTGAGCTTGTGATCCACCCGCCTCAGCCTCTCAAAGTGCTGGGATTACAGGTGTGAGCCACCACACCAGGCCCTTTTTCAGCTTCTTTATTGAGGTGAAATATACATTACAAACTTTGCCATGCTAACTGTTATTAAACGAATAATTCATTGGCATCAGATGCATTTAGACTGTTGTACAACCATCACCACTATCTCCAGAGCTTTTTCGTCTATTCAAACTCAAATTATATACTCATTAATCCATAACTTTCCATTTTTTACCTTCTCCTAATCTCTGATAGCCACTATTCTACTTTCTGTTTCTTGACTATTTTAGGTAACTCATATAAATGGAATCTACATTTACCCTTTCGTGTCTAACTTTTACCTTGTGTCTAAATAAAGGCAATAAGGAATCATGCTTTTGCCTATTTCTCTTACAGCTGAGTATACATTGACCCTTTCCCCAAAAGAGCAGCTACAAATTATCTTTATTTGTCTTTGGGTGGTGCTCATTTCTTCTTTTGCTGAATCATGTCCTCCTTGTTAATACTGTAGTGTATTGGAAAGAGACCAAATAAAAGGAAAAACCCAAATGTGGTTTTTATACACATTTTAAAAAGGAAGAAAGGCTTATAGCTATTACAGTTCTTGTTTTCCAATGAGTCATGTGGTCATAGCTTGTACTTTATAACTGCCTTCTTCAACTACCCATTCCATATTCCTTGGTTTTCATTTGGTAATGGGTCTTTGCTTGGTGGGAACTGCTTGCCTTAGTAGTTTCCTACATTTGGTTATTACAGTTTTCAATTAACTTTAATCACAAGATAAGGGAAAACTGAGAGGTGCCCTAGAGGATCTTCTACATTCCAGACATACTCCTCCTTATCCCTATAGAGTAGTAGCTGTCTGATTTCCCCTTAATAGTCAGCATCACTTACCCCAGCCAGTACGGCAATCTCCTTTGCCTGTTCATTTGTTGGCATGAGGAACCCAAAGTGGCCAAGTGGCAGTCAACTTCCAGTTTAATGGAACTATTGCATTTTCCCCTGGTACAAGCATTTCTTTCTTGGTAACTAAGACTTCCAGGCCAGCAAGAGTCCAGTGTTTCAGCAATGGGAAGCCAAAATTTCACTAGTGGATCACTAAAGGTAATAGAGGAGCCACTCCCATTTCCACCCCTGAGTCCTGTGGACCGTGGCAATGGGAGAAACAGCACCGTTCACTGATGGATAGCATGCCATATCCTGGAGGCTACTAGTCCAGCCCTTAAAGTGCTGATACTCACCTGGCAGCATAATTGGGTCTGCAAAATGCCACTCCATTATTTTCTCAGGCCAGCTGCTTCAGGGTGTTGGGGAACATAGACCAGTGAATTTCTTGAACATGATGAGCTTTCTGTTATGCTTCATTTGCTATAAATTAGTTCTTTGATCAGAAATAATTTGGTGAGGAATACAATGACAATCAGTAGGAATTCTGTGAATTTGTGCATGGCAGACATGATAGAGCACTGCAGGCAGGGAAGGTAAATTCATATTCGGAGTAACTGTCTGTATCAGTGAGAGCAAAGTGCTGCCTTTTTCATTATAGAAGGTTCCAATGCAGTTACTTTGCCATCAAGCATCTGGCTGTCCCCACAGAGAATGATGCCATCATTGGAACTCAAGGTGAGCTGTTTGCAAGTTGGGCACTTAGCTATGGATGTAGCCAGATGGGTCTTCATGAGTGGCAATCTATGTTGCAGCAGCAGAAGGCACTTTGTTCTTGATTTCATTGTCCAAGGACGGATGTGGTCAATGTCCAGGTCATCTTGTCCACCTAATTATGATTATCCTTTGTGGAGGTTGTTTTTAGTGAGCATTAATATGGGACACAAATATCTTCACACTCTGACCATTCAGAGAGGTCTATACATGTATCTTCCTCAGACCTCATTGCGACCCGTTTTCCTATTTGGTACCTTCCAAGTTGCTGAACATCTTGCTAATCATTATCCATCGCCTATAATAGTGTGGATGTGTTTCCCTGGCAAAATGAATAACTATATGCACTGTTTACTGCGGACTGGGAGAATTTTCCATCTTCAGTGGTTTTTATGGCCACTCTGGAGAGACGCTAGAGTGTGATGGTTGTTCACTTTCAGGTAGTGACAATATAACATGCAGAATCTTTTGCAAATTAGGCTGGCACTTTTTATCTTCCTTAGTAACAGGGAACCCCATCATGAAATCATAGTTACAGGTTGAGAAGGAGGAGACAAGGGGGAGCATGGTGCATGAGCATTTGGACTTCTTGTTCATGCCTTCACTTAGAACCTGCTCACTTTGGCGTATACCTCTTCCATTGTGATGATGGAAGTTCACCTTATGAATTGATGGGTCAGATGATACCTGGTTGATGATACAGGCAGCACAGGTCACATAGTAACTTAGTCTCTTGTAAGACACAGGAGCAACCCAGAAGTTGTTTCCAAAAGGATAATAGTTCTCTGTAGATAATGGCATAGCTTTGCTCCAAAATCGTAATTGTCTGTTGTGACTCATCGTAGGCCAAAGGTGTTATATAACATTCCCATTCATCATAAACTTACAGTACCATCAAATCTGTTGGGTCATATGGCTCAATGGTAAGAGAAGATTGTATCATGGCATTACCTCTTATTCGGGGCCCTACTTAAAAAAGGCAAGTTTTTGGGTTACTTGGTAAATTAGGCATACATTGCCTCCCAAATCCAAGTAGTCCATTAGCCTCTGTGCCCTTCTAGTAATAGGAGGGGCCAGATGTAGAAACATCCTTCACTTTAGAAGAGGTATCTCCACGTGCCTCATACCCCTTGGCTCTCACCAAGGTGTCAGGCCTCTGAATTTTTATGGGATTTATCTTCTGTCCTCTGTCAAGTGTCTCTCTTAGCAGTTTGTTTGTAGTAGCTGCTACTGCTCCTGCTTGTGCAGCAGGCCGGACAAGCATGATAACATCAATGCAGTGAGCGAGTGTAATGCCTGGTAGAATGAAAAGGCAATCAAGATCCCTGCAGATTAGATTAGGGCTAGAGAGCAGATACAGCCCTGAGGTGGGAGAATAAAGATACCTTGCTGGCTCAGCAAACTGCTTTTACTGTGCTCTACACACCTATACTATAAAAACAGGTATGGAGAATAAAACATTCAACAGATCAATAGCTGAAACCCGATGCCAGGGCATATGTTCTGTCTCATTCATGAAATTACAGCTGGAACAATGGCTGTTGTTGGAGCCATAGCCTTATTAATTTTGCCACAATCCACTTTCAATCTCTAGAATCCATTATCTTCTACATACACTACATAGGTGAGTTGAATGCGATGTGGAAGACATTATTCCCACGTCTTTCAAGCCCTTGATATAGGCGGTTATCTCTGCAATCCCTCCAGGAATGCAGTAATGTTTTTGGTTTGCCCTATTGGTTGGTAAAGGCCGTTTTACTGGCTTCCACTTGACCTTTCCTATCATAATAATCCTTAGTTACTGGCCATGAGACCAATGTGTGGATTCTGCCACTTGCTGAACATATCTGTTCTCAGTATGTAGTGTGGAACTGAGGAAATAACCACATAGCAGATTAGAAGTCCCACTGTATATCACTAGCAGCCACTGGACTTGAGTCTGCTGCTGCCCCATACCAATGAGCTCACCAGCCCTGCCCTTACACTGACTTTCTTAAATACAGAAAATATGGCTATTGCTTCATTTCAACCTTTTAAATCTCTGGCAATCAAAACTGCATTGATTACCTCACTTAAGTCTAGCTTATACTCTGACTGGTGGATCACCATGGCATTTTGGTTTTATAAGAATTAGCATCAGTTCAGAGTTAATGCCCAGCAGTTTCTGAGAAGTGATTTTTTTTTTCCTAATGCGCAGTTACCCTAATAAACTTCTCTAAAGGAGACTAATAGGAAGATTCACTACATATATTTTTAGCTGTGTGGTAGAGTCCTTCCCCAAGGGGCTGCAACCTCTCCTTTATTCAAGGGGCTCTGGTTCTGTAAGTTGGTTCAATTCTGGAAATTGGTCAAAGGATGGTTGCTCTGTTGTGGTGTTTCAAATCAGGCTCGTGTTTACCAGAATCAGAGCTGTTTATTCTGTGTATACAAATCAAGTAATCTATTTCCAATTCAAGGACATCACAGTCGACTAGCCAATCCAAGATCTTGTGGGTCAGTCTATTCTGATTCTGTCTCAGCTCTGTTGCCCTTTATGGCAAACACATCCACTTTATTTTTGGTCATAAATTCAGTTGTGGCTGTTTAGACCTTGGAATCCATCATTGTCACTGAATCAGGTAGTCTGGTTGGAAGATGATATTTCCCACTGTCATTCCTAGCTTACAGAGAATAGCTAGGGGAGCCCCAGCATCCCTGAATGACTTCGCTGATGCTAGGGCTCCCCTTATGACTGTAGCTTTCACAGTCTTGGTGAAGGAAGTGTCCTTTGAATTCTCCTGGGGGACAGCAAGGGAGTGGATGATCAATCCCTTTGATATACCACTCTGGTACTGCTATCTCTCTAAGCCTCTGAATACCTTCCTTTAGAGCATACCCAGGAAATTCCAGCACTCCAGTCTCATTGGACTCTACACCTGTTTTATTCCATCCCAATTTTCTGACATTTATCTTTGAGGCCAGGTTTCAGGCAACAAGCCAAGCAAATTACTAGAACCACTCCTGGCCACTATATCTAGAACATTAAATCCAGAATTTCTTAGTGACCCCATATCAATAAACTTAGCTTAATTCAACAACCCCGTTTGAGGACCTTTATGATCTATTAAACTTAGCTTAATTCAATAACCCTGTTTCAGTACCTTTATAACCTTAATTCAATAACAATAACTTAGCCTAATTCCATAAACGCTGTTTTAGTACCTTTATGATCTGTTCCCATGTATATTCTCTAGCTTTCTGATATAGTTTGGATATGTGTCTCCTCCTAATCTCATGTTGAAATGTGACCCTCTGATGTTGGAGGTCGGCCTGGATCCCTCATGAATGGCTTGGTGCCCTCCCCGTGATAATTAGTGAGTTCTTGCTCTATGAGTTCACACGAGAGCTAGTTGTTTAAAGGAGCCTGGCACTGCCTCCTCTCTTGCTCCGTCTCTTACTGTGTAACACACCTGCCCCCTTTGCCTTCTGTCATTGGAACCTTCCCAAGGCCCTCACAAGAAGCAGATGCCAGCCCTATGCTCCTTGTACAGCCTACAGAACCATGAGCAAAATAAACTTATTTTCTTTACAAATTACCCAACCTTGGATATGCCTTCATATCAATGCAAAATGGATGAACACAGTTTCTATTGATAGATTTTGGCACATGCAGCTCTTTTGGTGTGTATCATGTCTTTTGACAGGTTACATCTTTGTGTTTTATTTTAAAACACTGTATTTTTTTTTTTTTTTTGAGACGGAGTTTCACTGTTGTTACCCAGGCTGGAGTGCAATGGCACCATCTCGGCTCACCGCAACCTCCGCCTCCTGGGTTCAGGCAATTCTCCTGCCTCAGCCTCCTGAGTAGCTGGGATTACAGGCATGCGCCACCATGCCCAGCTAATGTTTTTTTGTATTTTTAGTAGACACGGGGTTTCACCATGTTGACCAGGATGGTCTCGATCTCTTGACCTCATGATCCATCTGCCTCGGCCTCCCAAAGTGCTGGGATTACAGGCTTGAGCCACCGTGCCCGGCCTAAAACACTGTATTTTAAAGCACTGAAAGATGGCAGAGGCAGATTTTTAGGAGGATTAGCAGTCCCATACAAGGCAACAAGGACCATTGTAGGGATTTCAGTTAGGAGGACATTGTTTCAGAAAGGGGAGGCAAGGTAAAAGAGACTTGACGTAATTTAGTGGTTTAAGGAAACCTGCTTCATTGGAATCTGCCCTCATGTTTCCCTCCAAATTTCAGAGTCTCCTTCCCAGACAGTGTCCTGAGTTTATCATAAGAGTCCCTGCAGGGTTGGGAGTTCAGTTTGTATTGAAGTTCAACCATCTGCAGTATTTAGACCTAGGGCTGTTTTTCAGAAATAGTAGCCCTGCACCTATAGAAGATAAGGTTTTTTAAGGGCAATCATAGAAACTTTGAGGTCCCTTAATGCAGATACTACAATTTTCCCGAGTTCTTCACACACTTAGAAGCAACCAGTCAACCCTATGATTCCCACCAAAACATTTTGTGACAGCAAACACTTTGTCACCCACAGCCTTGCCTTCTCTAGTTTTACTGGCATCTATAGATGATGATTTAAATAACTTTTTTCATTGCATGATGATATAGAATAGTTATGTTCTCTTTATCAGTGGAAACAGGGTTACTAATGCCTTGAAATCTATTCAGATCAGAAAATCAATTCTGTGTGGCTCAGAATCAATTCAGAAAACCTAATAAGTTTCTGTTCTTCTGTATCAAAATTCTGTATGGGTTAGGGTTCAGTCAGGTAAGCTGAACCATTATGAGTGCTGTAAGTTTTATTATGGAGATTAAACCTTATGTGGTCATGGGAACTGGTTAAGCAGCTATCCCTGGGTCAGCTTCTGGTCCTGAGGTCAGCAGTACCAGCAGTGAAAAAGGAAGATGAATGTGAAGTGTGGGAGGGTATGGATGAACTGGAAGCCAGAAGTATAAATTGAAACTCATGAGGACAAAGTCAGGATGCTGGTGCCTTGCTGAAAAGCTGGTGCACTTGTCACAGAAGGTTGCTCAGCAACCTGGCCAAGAAGCCAAAGAAGCTGTGAGCCAAGTTGCCCACCAAGAAGATTTAGCAGGGGCTAGGGGAGCTGGCTTCCACCCCATGTCAAAAAAAGTGAGGCAGCAGATTCCTAACATAATGAGTGAGCTGCAGAAGCACCTGGCCTTTGGCCAACCATCCCAATGCAAAACTGACTGCTGCTTTTTTTCTGCCTTTTAAATCTCATGCAGAGTTCACTTGTGGCCAAACCTAACCCAAAATCATGTAGGGAAGGGTTGATACAAGGGATGAAGGCAGTTGGTACAATGAAAAGCCCCCCAACATCCTGTTTTAAACCATAACCATTAATTTTATCTCATGAAGAGGCACATTGAACCTGTATACTGATTAATGCAGGCAGGTATATTAGAATGCACCAAGAACATCTTTTAAGATTTTTCTAGCTTCCATTGATATGGTATCAAAAAGTGTTTCACTTTTTGACTTTACTACTTAGATTGATTAGAATCATACACTGAGGTTTCTTTATAAATTAGTTACAAAGGAGATGTAATGCCAATTCCAATAGTACACTTGATTTCTCTTAGTTGTTGCATCCTCTTGTTTATAATTACCAACTCCTTATACCATCAAATGAGTCCAAATAGGAATGCCTTCATAGAGTAATAGCAAAGTAATTAGGGAATTAGCTTCCTTTTGCTTCAAAGTCTGACTACTTAAATGGTTTAGGAGATTGTCAGATGACTTCTCTACAACGTAATAAAAATAAGTGTGTATTAAGAATTTGTGTACTAGGTACTATGTCTAGAACTCTTAATATATTATGTCACTAGGTCTTTATAAAAATACTATGAAAGTTAGATATTATCCCCTTTTTACAGGAGGGGAAATGGGGATGCAGGTAAGTATCTTGCCTCAGATCACTTAGCAGGTAAAAGATTAAGAGCATGTTTTTGAGTCATATAGACCCTAGTTAAAACCGACCTTTAAATCTGAGTTAAATCTCAGGTCTATATGGCTCTAAACATGCTCTCCACCATTCTGCTATACTACTTCAAGTTAGTCTGTAATTCATATGGTGGAGAACATCCAAAAATCAATCTGGAAACTTAAAGTTGTCATTTCCTTTGTCTAATCACTGTATTCCCCGCTGCCTCCCATAGCTCTAACTGAGGAACTGGATTCTGTAACCAGTGAGCTACATGCAGTAGAAATTCAAATTCAAGAACTTACGGAAAGGCAACAAGAACTTATTCAGAAAAAAAAAGTCCTAACAAAGAAAATACAGCAGTGTTTAGAGGATTCTGATGCTGGGGCAAGCAACGAATGTGATTCTTCACCAGCTGCTTGGAATAAAGAAGGTTAACTTTTCTTTGCTAGTTTTGTTTCTTCTCATTTTTTAAAAAAACTAGAATGGATTCTTTATGGGTCAGTGCTTTCCAGTAGGCTTAGAGGTGAAAGTGGCCATTTCTCCAGTGGAATGGGAAACCTGCAGATGGACCATTCTTTCCCTCTGTTCTGTAGTCTTTAAGCTTTTATTATTCAGTCATTTTTTCCAATTATTGTTCTAGCAACATTGATCATGCTTAGAAAATGAGATATTTACTTTACCTAAATTAACAAACAATTTAGAAACAAAACATTCAAACTCTTTGCCAAAGTTTAGATTATTTTCCTGCCCTAGTGAACAAACCTCTCATGATTCAAGTTCTTAACAAACATCATGTTTATCAATTATAAATTGATAATAGTATAATTATACATACTATAATAGAATAATTATATATAATATATGCTATAATAGAATAATTAGAATAACTCTAGAAGGAATTGCAGTGCTTTTTGTAGGTGGTGTGTTTTTTAATGATTTACATCTAAACAAGATATTTACACCAAAAATTCCAGATAATTGTTAACTTTGTTTGTGATATTTGGGTATTTTATGATGCTGTGAATTCCCTGATCAACATTCAGACTGTTTTTCAAATACCTGATCAGACACCTTCCATTTTTGTGTGGGTTAATTCTTAACTGGGAAATGTTTACATTTGTTTCTTTCTTTTTTTTTTTTTTTCCCATTGAGATAGGGTCTTGCTTGTTACCCAGGCTGGAGTGCAGTGGCACAACCACAACTCTCTGCAGCCTCAAACTCCCAGGCTCAAGCAATCCTCCCATCTCAGCCTCCCTAGTAGCTGGGACTACAGGTGCATGGCACTACACTAGGGTACTCTAAAAAATTTTTTTATAGAGATAGAGTCTTGCTGTCGCTTGAGCTCAGCCTGGTCCCGAACTCCTGAGCTCAAGTGATCCTACCACCTTGGCCTCCCAAAATTGTTGGGATTATAGGCATGAGACACAACACCTACTATGTCTTATATCATTTAACTTGTTTTTGCTTTTCTTAGCTAGTGAGTTAATCTCAAAATTATTATCAGAAAAGTTTAATGGTCCATAAGTATTAGAAGTTTTATTATATATGTTTGTCTCATTCTTATCAAAATTCTATAATAATCTTCTGTATGTTTGTCTGATTCTTATCTTTCTTTTTTTAGATTTTCCATGGTCTGGTAAAGTTAAAGATGTTCTACAAAATGTCTTTAAACTGCAGAAGTTCAGACCACTTCAACTTGAAACTATTAATGTAACAATGGCTGGAAAGGAGGTATTTCTTGTTATGCCTACAGGAGGTGGAAAGAGCTTATGCTACCAGTTACCAGCATTATGTTTAGATGGTATGTACTAATAAAAACTAATTTTGAGTTGAAGAAGTGCTTTGTCATCATATACTTTTAATTGTTTTAAAAAATAATTTCTAATCATACATATGTAAAAATCAAGTGCATTTTTTGTTTTGTTTCTTCTGTATTAATAGAAATTTAAAGTTTCACTTAAAGGGGGAATTTATTTACTTTTTATTTTAGATTTAGGGGTACATATGCAGGTTTGTTACATGAGTATGTTGTAATGCTGAGATATGGAGTTTGAATGATCCGTCATCCAAGTAGTAAACACAGTACCTGATAGGTAGTTTTTCAGCCCTTGCCCACCTCTATCCCTAAAGGGGGAATCTAAAAAACTTCTGAGATTAATTCTTTTATCTGGTTCTTGAAACATAAATTTAGAAACATATTGAACATTCAAAATCCTCTTTTCTAGCTTTTTGAAACGCTATACTAAATTATTGTTAACCATATTCACCCTGAAGTGCTGTAGAACACTAGAACAGAAAATAAAAGCGGGGGGAACCCCAAAAATGTTGTAGGAGAAGCAGCACTGGAAGAAGAATCGGTAGACCTAAATTCTCATCCCTGATCTTCATTGAGTGTGCCATTGTGCTAAGCACTGGGAGATAAAGTAGTGAGCAAAAATGGCATGGTCTTAGTTTTCACAGAACTCATAGTGTAGAGTAGCACTTTTTCAGACGTCAGCGTACATAAGAATCACCTGAGGATTTGATCATGTGCAGATTCTGATTTTATGTGAGACCAAAGATCCTGCATTTCTAACAAGCTCCCTGGTGCTACTGATATTGCTGACTGGGGAGTAGCAAGGGGTCAGCAAACTTTCCCTTGAAAGGGTAAATAGTAATTAATATAGGCTTGTGGTCCATATGGTCTCTGTGGCAGTTCTTCAACCCTGCCATGGCAGCACAAAAACAGTCACACATAATGTGTAAAGACATGAGTGTAGCTGTGTTCCATTAAAATAACTTACACAAATAGGCAACCAGCCCTTAGTTTGTTGACCCCTGGTTTAGAGAATACAGGTAATTGCAAGCAATTGCAATAAGAGTTTTAGGATAAAGGTTTCAACAGAGAATTAAGTCCGTACAAAGATCTGGTCTACTGGCTGTCAGGGAAAGCTTTTCTAACGAAGTGGCATTAAGCTAAAAGTTAAAGGATGAGTAGGCAAAAGGGACAGGGAAGGAAGAGTGTTCATTCAGAAGAGCAGCATGTGTTAGATTCAAAAGCAAGAGAGAACACACATCATGATGTATTCAGTAACCTGGAGGAATTTTTGTGTGGCAGTCAGTGGTAAGACAGGTGGAAAGAGTCTTTTTTTAAAACTTTTCCTTATTTTAGCAGGAAGCCATTGATGTGTTTTACACAGGTAAGAGACTCATTATTTTGTGGTTTAGAAGGATAATTCTTGCAGTTAGACGAATTCCAGATATATCTGGAAGATAGACTTGGTATTTATTGGATGGGGGGAAAGGAGAAAGAATAGTCAAGAATGAGGCTCAAATTTTAGGCTTGGACAAATGCTGAGGTGCTTCACTGAAATGGGGTACATTGGAGAAAGAACTCTTGGGAGTGGAGAGGGGAAGATGAATTTATTTGAGACATGTTGAATTTATGATGCCGTTAAGACATCCAGGTGGAATTGTCCTATGAGTAGGAGGATGTTTGTCTCTAAAGCTTGGTCTTAGAGGTCTGAGTGGGAGGCTGTTAGTGTGGAGACAGCCACTGAAGCCATTAGAATGAATTACAGAGCAGCATAAGAAGATAAGACCTAGAACAGAAACCAGAACACCAAGAGTTAAAGGATAAACAGAGAAAGAGGGGTTTCTGGACAAGGCTGAGAAAGAGTAGCAACATATAGGACAACCAGCATTGTATGGTATTATTAGAAGCCTAGGGAAGGACGTGTTTGAAAAAGAGAGTAGATTATAGTGATGTCTGTTAGCTAAAGGTCAGTTACAATAAGGATGTAAGTTTCATTGAGTTTAATGACAAAGGACTCATTTCAATTTTATTGAAATAGTTGGGTAGAGAACAAATAGCAAGGGTTTGAAGTGAGTAGGAATTGAGGAAGTTGAACTAGTGAGTGTGGGATGCTCTTTGGAAAAGAATGGCTATGAAGGGAAGAAGAGATGGGGCCATAAATTAGGTGTTATCTTAGTCTATTCCAGCCGCTGTAACAGAATACTTGGAATCGGCTAATTAACAAACAACAGAAGTTTACTTCTTGCAGATCTGGAGGCTGGGAAGTCCAAGATCAAGATGCTAATAGATTTTAGTGTCTAGACAGGAGGTGTTTCTTATAGATGGCACCTTCTTGCTGCATCCTCACATGGTGGTAAAGAATAAGGGCACTCCCTTCAACTTCTTTTAAAATGGCATAAATCCCACTTACGAAAGCAGAGCCCTCATTACTTAACTTTTCTGAGGGGATACCAACATTCAGACCATAGCAGGTGTTTTCAAAGATAAGAGACTTGACCATGTTTTAATATAATGAGTAGGTGCTAGTAAGGAGAAAGTGAAAATATAGGAGAGAGAATAATTGACAGGGCAAAATCCTTAATAAAGTCTTAATTTGATTATGTTTTTAAAGCATGTCTGCCCTCTGCCATAGGTTGTTGTAAAAAACAAATTACAGAAATGTAAAGCCATATAATTTTAACGGTAGAATAGCTTTTGTAGTTTAAACAATTTCAATTATAAGGGGCATATTACTACAACTTTATTCATACAGTAAACTGTTCACTGAGTTCTACTCAGAGTAAATCTCACACAAAAAGTAAAAGGATGCTCATGTAACTGTCATGTTTAATTATACACACTAATATATAATTAAAAATCTGTTTTCTTTGGAAAGCTTTGTAGCAATTTTTCCCTGATGAAATTTTTTAGTGTTTGAACTGACTTACGTTATATTACTGAAATTACCAATAGTGATTATTTAAAATGATAACAAATTAAACATTTGAAATGTTCAAATCTGTCTTTAATTTTATACGACTGAATAAGGATAGGAAGTTCTGTTTAGTTGTATGTTTGCTTATTTGACTTATATTTACCTTGTGTGGTCATTGATTCATAACTATCTCCCTGATGAATGAGAGTAAGAAGTGAGCATTACTAAAGCTGCATTAAAAATTAATCTGAATTGATAGGTGGTGCTCTAAAGTTAAGAAGGTAAATGGGCTGGGCACAGTGGCTCATGCCTGTAATCCTAGCACTTTGGGAGGCTGAGGCGGGCAGATTGCCTGAGCTCAGGAGACCAGCCTGGGCAACTCGGTGAAATCCCATCTCTACTAAGATACAGAAGAAATTAGTCAGGCGTGGCAGACTGCGCCTGTAGTCCCAGTTACTCAGGAGGCTGAGGCAGGACGATCGCTTGAACCTGGGAGGTGGAGGTTGCAGTGAGCCGAGATCGCACCACTGCACTCCAGCCTGGGCAACAGAGCGAGACTCTGTCTCAAAAAAGAAGGCAAATGGTTGCAATTGATTCTGATGGTGGTGTAAAATTTAAGGTAAATTTTTTTTTTTCTCTTTTAGGTTTTACACTTGTCATTTGCCCATTGATCTCTCTTATGGAAGACCAATTAATGGTTTTAAAACAATTAGGAATTTCGGCAACCATGCTAAATGCTTCTAGTTCTAAGGTATGTTTCAGTGGCTTTTTTTTTTTTTTTCTAATGTAAACTCTTCACTGAAATAGGAGCCTTACCTGAAGTTGAGTTGCTTATAAAATTATAAACTGTTAACTGTTTATATTAGGAGTTGCAACTACTGCTCTCAGGCTAGTTCCGGCCCACTGTCTATTTTTTATGTCCCATGAGTTAAGAATGGTTTTTTATATATTTAAATGATCAAAAAAAAATCTAAAAAGAATATTTTGTGAATGTGAAAATTATTTGCAATTCAAGTTTCAATATCCATAAATAAAGTTTTATGGAACACAACCGTGCTCATTTGTTAACATGTTGTCTGTGGCTGCTTTTACAGTATAATGGCTGAGTGGAGTAGTTGCAATGGAGACCTTATATCCCACAACATCTAATATTTATGTCTGGCACTTTACAGGAAACATTTGCTGACCTGTTTTGTATTATCTGTTCTAAAATAGTAAAGGAGAATTTCTAATTATACAATATAATTAAATATGAAATATGAATTACTAAGAAGATACCCTAAACCTGTGAAATTGCTTCTATTTAGGAATGGACTCTTACCCTCATCTTTAGAATAAAGCATTTCCCAGCTCTTCTTTTTTAAAAAGCTTATTATTGAAATCTTCAAAAGTAGAGAGAATAGCATAAAAACTGCCACATGTCCATTTCCCCCTTCAACAGTTATCAACATATGGCTAATCTTTTTTTTTTAATCTATATACTTCCAGTTTTCCCTACCTCCTTCCCCTTAGTTTACTTATTCAGAACAAATTCCAGGCATCATATTTTAATTGTAAATTCTTCAGTAGGTATCTCTAACTTTAAAGAAAAGTGTTAATGCCATCAGCACGTCTAAAAAATTTCATATCAGTTCTTTAAAATTATAAAAATATTCAGATTTCTGTCTCATATTATGTTTTTTTTTTAAATTATAGCCCAGATAATATTCATGCATTGTATTGTATTTGATCGATATACCCATAGGTTCCCTTTATCTCTTTTATATTTCCTGTGGAAATTCTTTGTTGAAGAAACCAGTTTAATTGTCCTGTATCTTTCTGCATTTTCCTGATTGCATCCTTGTGGTGTTTTTTTCTTTTTCTTTTTCTTTTTCAGTTCTGGGGTACATGTGCAGGATATGCAGGTTTGTTAACATAGGTAACTGGTTCCTTTTAAGTTAGATCTAAAAGGATCCTTATTGTATTTGGAATTTTTCTTTTTTCTTTTCTGTTTTTTTTTTTTTTATTATTATTCTTATTGTGGTATCACTCAAGCGGTACATAGTGCCTGGTTATTTTTTTGTGATGCTAAGCATCAGTGGGTTCAAGTGATGTCTGCCTGATCTCTGATTATTAGCTTTTCATCTAGTGGTTTTAGCAGTCACTGAGAGCCACACTGAGAGCCATGATTTCATTAGGGAGGTGCAAAATGGTGATATCTAATTCTGTCACTCTTTCTTCATATATTAGCTACATGTTTTCTATAAAAATAAACTTTTCCTTATTAACTCTTTGTATGATGAAAGTGCTTGATTTTTTCCCCTTTCTTTACCAGTTTTCAGAAAGAGTTGGTTTTCTAGCATTCTCCAAAGGTGGTCAACAAGATTTTTAAGTTTTTTTTTCCCCCCCAAGTATTGTTATAAACTTATAAGTTTTCACGTATTATATAATATGGGGCCAGGCATGGTGGCTCATGTCTGTAATCCCAGCACTTTGGGAGGTCAAGGTGAGCAGATCACCTGAGGTCAGGAGTTTGAGACCAGCCTGACCAACATGGAGAAACCCTGTCTCTACTAAAAATACAAAATTAGCCGGGCATGGTGGTGCATGCCTGTAATCCCAGCTACTTGGGAAGCTGAGGCAGAAGAATCATTTGAACCCAGGAGGCAGGGGTTGCGGTGAGCTGAGATCATGCCATTGTACTCCAGCCTGAGCAACAAAAGTGAAACACTGCTCAAAAAAATATGTGTGTGTGTGTGTCCTTGGGCAGTGAGAGCCTCTTTAAGTTGGTTCCTGAACCTTTTCCCTTAACGCCGTTGCTTCTGCTCCTTGCTTCCTTTCATATAAGATAATCCATGTTCGTTTTTTATGTATTTCCTGCCCAGACCTGGAGTCAGCCATACCTCAAAGAATCCCTGGTTCCTTTAGTTTACCCATATATTTTTGTTTTATTTAAACTCCATGGGTCATTCTATTATAATTGCTTCTTCATTCAACAAAATGAATCTTTGGAGAAAACTACCTCCTAATAATGTACTTCTTAAAACTGAAAAAGAAAGTGATAGTAATAGAAAGGAGTTTAGACAGTTGCAGATAATTACAAGTTCATGATATATCACTACTACTTGAAAAGTTGGAGAGAGAAAAAAAGAACATCTGTGTCCTAGAATATATCTAGGAGTTAACAAACTGCTTCTTTTCTATGATGAAGGCAGTTTGACTCTCTGTCCTATTCACTGGCATGTTTTTACATTTTTTGATCCTCTTTAGGTTAGAAGGAAAAAAATGACATCTAATGTGCTAAGTATTATATAGAATTGTATTAAAGTACTAAGAACCTAGTACTGTTACGTTTTAAGATTTATTATTATTATCTTAATTTAATGAGTTTAAATGAAAGTTGCCAGGAAAATTTATGTCTTAAAAAAAAAAAAATTTAATGAGTGATACTTTATGAAGCCCCGTGGTCTTTATAGTGAAATGGAGATTAAAAGATTTGATGGCATCATGTAAGTAGTTAATAAATAATAAATTTTGTTCACGTAAATAAAAGGATTATAAATATAATGATAAAATTAATAAAACCTACCTTTATACCCATAACAATTTTACCTAGCTTACATTTTAGAATACATTATGAACAATTTAGAATTATACCTTCATAGAATAAATGCTGTTCATTGGAGTATCTTTTCATGTTAATTTATTTTTGTTCTTTTTGTCAAGTGAGGTTTTTTTTCCATCAATGATGTAAATATTAGTAAATAACTAGAATGCTATTTACACAGCTGCCATGATGTTTAGCACTGAGACATGGTTTCAGTTTTAATGAAGTAAGCATCTGCTCCTAAAAGAGCCGAAGGCTATTATTGCTTTGGAGAAATGAATGTTTTCATTTACCATCTAGTGTTTCAGCCTGCTAGCTTGGTTTTCCTATCATTGTGTCTATTTTTTCTTTTAATAGGAGCATGTTAAATGGGTTCATGCTGAAATGGTAAATAAAAACTCCGAGTTAAAGCTGATTTATGTGACTCCAGAGAAAATTGCAAAAAGCAAAATGTTTATGTCCAAACTAGAGAAAGCCTATGAAGCAAGGAGATTTACTCGCATTGCTGTGGATGAAGTTCACTGCTGTAGTCAGTGGGGACATGATTTCAGACCTGGTATGTATGTTTTATCTGGAAAACTTTTTGATGTCAGAGACTCTGTCCTTACTCAGCTTGGCATGATGGAAATCTCTGCTTCTATTACAATCATCCTCAAGTAGTTACACGTTGAATATCCCTTATCCAGAATGCTTGGAACCAAAAGGGTTTAAATTTTGTATTTTTTCGGATTTGGGATGATCAACCTGTATTACTCATTTTAATCTTGTCTCATTATGAGGAGGACTAAGAGGCAGAATCTTTAGTTTCACTCCCCGCTGTAATATGCTTAATTGCTTTTGTCCTTGGACACATATGTTTGCTAGCCAGTAGTGGACATCTTTGTGGCATTTATGACATCTAGGTATTCCTGCACATTTGTTGAAGAATTTGCATCTGCTTCAAAGTTGTCATCTTTAGTCATCATTCCCAGGGGGTCTTTTCAGCACCCACATACAACTCCTCAGCATTAAACTTTGGTGAGATATTTTAGTGACCTTTTTCTTCATCCCACCACCTAATGCAATAGCCGTAGCCTGAAGTAAGTTACTCAGAATTGTTATATGCAAAAAAAGCCTTAAATTCAAAAATTCTTCTCCCTGGCTTCAACCTCTTTTCTTTCTGAAGCTTTCACGCTCATTAGGATCTGCTGGGTTCCTCCTTTAATCCCTGCTTATTTATCCAGACCCCTGTCCCTGCACAGTAATCACTCTTTTTCCCGTCCAGACTCTGCATTGTTGCCCCTGACTTCTGTTATATTTGCCCTGGACTGCCTGGCCATTTTTCCAGTCTGCTTCAGGTGTTGTGCCTGAGACTCTGGATCCATCTAGACTTCTGCTTTCTCATTCCTGTTGCTTGGCTACAAAACATTGTCAAAAAATAAAAATAAAAATTGCATAACTCAGTTCAGCTTTTCATTATCCTCAGTTATCCTTATACTTGTCCCTATTTCAACTCCTTTATACATTTCTTCCAACAAATGCTTCATATCATTAACTTTCTATTCAGGCCATAACTTGTACTTAGCAGATGCGCCACAGGAAATAGATGCCATCAGGTTTGAACTGCTCCTCTTTTTACTTTAAAACATTAGTAATCTTTTTTTTTTTTTTTAATTTCTTTTGTTAAGGCAGAAAAGACCACTGCTTTATAAGGGTAACCATGACCACTCCAGTGTCGTCCTTTCCTGCCTTTTTAAGATCTTGCACTGCCAAGTTCCTCACTCCTTCACCTTCAGTCTCTTTTGTCCTCTCCCTAAAAACAGAAAATAAACACCCTTCTGACTTTTGCACCTTTTTATGTTATTGTCCTCTTTCTGTTCTTTCTGTCACCATCAGACTGCTCAGCTTACCATCTCCAATGGACACCTTTATGGGCATTCTGAACTCATTGAATCATGCTTCTGCCACCACCATACTACTGAAACAGGTCATCAGTGACCCACCCCCAGTGGCTTCATCAGGTGGCCTATCTTCATTCCTCTTCTCACCTAGCTTCAATAACATTTTATACGTTCACCTTTCACCTTGCCACATTCTACTCCCTTGGCTACTGTACAGTAATGCTGTTCAATGTTTTCGTTTCCATTCTCACCTCCTTTGCTCTTCTTCTTTTCTTTTCTTTTTAAATATTAGTGTTCCCTAGGGTTCTGACCTCAGTCTTTACCCTTACATTTCTCCAGGGATAGTGAGCTTGTAGCCCTAAGACTGCATTCTCTACCTGCAGAATTATTATGGGCATTGCTTTTATTTATTTGTATATTTTAAATAGATTTAAATGCCTTAAACAGGATATATATACTCCTTTTAACTAAGGACCCCACTAAGGAGCTCTCTCTTTTTTTAATAGGTTGTTTCAGTATGACTTTTAGTGGCATATCCTTATTAAAATGAAATGCAATTGAAAATATGCAAAGAAAGGAAACTAGTTGAATTACACGATTTTGAAAAACTAGGAAAGTTTTGTTTTGGGGATTAGCCATAATTTTTGTACTAAACTTGTTCAGTGGTGTACATATCACTTCTGAGAGACAGACCAGTTCAGTGGCGAGAAATGGGCTTTGGAAGCAAATGACTAGGATGGGACCCCAAGCTGTACTCGTAAACAGCCTCGAAGAATTGTTGAAGTAAAACTCTGAAAGTTTTAGTTTTAACAGTAGTGATATGGCGATAATATATACCTATTTTATACATTTTGAAAAATAAATGAGATAGTATGGGCGGGGGCATAACTGCCTACCAAGTTAGCACCCGTTCGATACTAATTTCCTCTTCTCTTTTGCACCATAGTTTGATTTTATCCCCAAAATATCTTCTTTTATATTTATAAAAGATATATAAAAGATATATTTATAAAAGAAGATTTTGGGGATAAAATATATATAAAAGAAGACATTTGGGGATAAAACCAAACTATATATAATTATGTGTGTGTGTATATATATATATATATATATATATATATATATGGTACTTTAGGTTCTGAGGACCCACTATCTTAACCAGATAGCACCACTTCGTTGTTACCTGGTGGCCACAAGTTACCTAATTTGCGATTCTTGCCCTATTTTCAACCTAAGTTGTGTGATCAGTTATGATTGTTACCATTGCTTGTGTATTACCATGACTTTTGTTGTCTCTGTGGATCTGCTGCCAAAGTGTAAATCATTATTCCCATATCTAATTATCTAACTTCTAAACTTTAAATTTATACTCTTAATTGCTTATCAGAAATGCCTGTCTAAATTAGCATGAACAGAATTAAATTCCCCCAAAAGAATGCTCTTTTTCTTCTCTTCTGCAACTGGGAGCCATTATTTTCCCCATAATTTTACTTGACTTTCTAACCAAAAACTTAATTTTCTTCGCCTTTCCTTTCTCCCTTCTCCTTTCTACTCCCAAGCAATTTCCCTTTCAGTCTTCTCTGTCTAGAAAATCATCTGCTTACTCACACATTTGCTGAAGCCAAAATTTTAGCAGTTATCTTTATCATTTAAGTTCCAGTCAGGAGACAGTTATTTGAACAGAGAGAATTTTTTTTATAAAGAATTGTGAACTAGGTAAAAAGTAGCTAAGTAGATAACTGAAAAAGTAAAAAAAGAAGCTAAGATATCATGGAGTTAAACACTGGAAGAAGCAACTACCATCTGTAAGGCTGGGAGAACAGGAAGAAAAGATGGAAACCAATAAGACTTAGAAACTTAAAGGAGAGGCCTTGTGGAACTGAGCTCCCTGGCGCTGGAGTCTCTTGGTACAGGCAGAGGTGGGGTACATCTTTGATAAAGCTGGTTCTCCATAGGCTGAAAAAACTGCCAACTGTATGTAGTTGCTCTTAAGGAAAGACCGCGCTGCTGCAGGGATGAGAAGCCTTGTGGGGTGACAGTCACAGGACACAAGCAAGCCTACAGGAAGCATTTAGGGAGGAGATAGGCATGGAGTCTTCCATCCAGGACCAGCAGGCAAAGCTGATGTGTAATGTGCAGAGTCCTTGGCGCAGCATCCCAGAACAGAGAATAGAAGGGTAGAGCTAGATATGAGGAAAAACATAATGGATGACACACCATCCTTGATTTACCCTCCCTTTGCAGATCCAGTCCACCACTAAGTGTTGTCAGCTCTACCTCTAAAATGAATCTCAAGTTTGCCTACTCTTCATGTACCTGCGTCTTACATAGTCAAGCTCCTTTCCACTGGTCTACTGCAGTAGCTTCCTACGTAGTCTTTGATTCCAGTCTTACCCTTTTTGTTCATTCTCCACAGAGCAATCAGTGATATTTTCTAAATTTAAATCAAGTCATGTTACTTCCCTGAAACTACCCAGTAGCTACTGTGTACTTAGAATAAAACTCATGAGTTTTTAAATGGGGCCTGTAGGGTAATATGTGATTTGCTCCCATCTATCTACCTGATTTCCTGTTCTTCTTCTCTTACTCCTTAAGCCACAGCTATACTGGGCCTACCATTATGAGCATTTATACTCTCTAATGGCATATTTATTGGTTTACTCTTTGTATTGTCTTGTTTCTTTGCTTGAACTATAGCCACATTTGCATGGCATTTTTGTCTTGTTCATCTAACTATCTTCAGTGTCTTCATTTATTTCATGCTAGACTTATCCATTCATCAACAGATAAATGTTTGTCTATTGTCTAGATAAATCTAGCATGAGATAAATCTCTCCCTCCTCCTTGCCACCTCCATATCCCAGTAGTCACTAGGACCTGTAGGTTCTGTCTTTTTACTCTTTGTGATTTATCCTTAATGTCATGCCTTATTTTATATTCTGCATTGTTTGTTTTCTCATCTGTGACTGCCATCATTTCAGTGGTTTTCCTTCAATGTTTTGTCTATTCCAGTCTATATTTTGTACTGTCACCAAAAGATGATTTATGATACATAGGTCTTTAAAAATTATTTGATGGGCTGGGTGCGGTGGCTCATGCATGTAATCCCAGCACTTTGGGATGCCGAGGCCGGCAGATCACCTGACGTCAGGCATTTGAGACCAGCCTGGCCAATATGGCAAAACCCCATCTCTTCTAAAAATACAAAAATTAGCTGGGTGTGGTGGCACACACCTGTAATCCCAGCTACTTGGGAGGCTGAGGCATGAGAATTGCTTGAACCCGGGAGGCGGGGTTGCAGTGAGCCAAGATTGCGCTACTGCACTCCAGCCTGGCAACAGAGTGAGACTCCATCTCAAAAAAAAAATAAAATAAAATTACATGATGACTCTTCATTTCCTATAGGATAAAGTCTTAGCTTAAAATCAACTGGCCAAATTGTTCATAGTTTTACTTAAACCTGCCTTCTACATAACAGTCTGAGTCAGGGTTCAGGCCAGGAAGCAGAGTCACGATGAATGTTGTGGGATAACAGTTTTACTATAGGAAGCAGACCTTGCACAGTTGTGGGAGGAACCAGGGAAGTGAAGGTCTGAAGAGGGGAGTTGGAGGATTAAAGTAATGACTGATACCTGAGTGCTGGTGCAGGAGGATGAGGCAGAGCCTGTAGGGAAATCTGCTGCTGGCATGTGCAGTGGCAAAGGGGACCCTTTAGGGGAAGTTCATGGAAAGGTCTCTGGTAAGCTACTTCCTCTGAGTAGATATTGCCTCTGTGGGTCTGCTGTTGATTTGCAAGGCCTGCAGTTGGAAGGAAGATTTGAATGAGGAGTGGAAGAGAACTAGGATGACCCAGAACTGGCTGAGCACTTCTGCATCTGTCCATCGTCCTCTCTGCTTATAAAGACCTTGAAGGAGTAATATTAGCTGGTTCACTTCTGCCACCAAATCTTGCACAATCCCTCTTTTGGGTCAGCTCTAACTTGGAATAGGGAAGAGATTCTGGGAAATGAAATTCCCAGCTTAACGGATTGAAGAATGAATCCGTCCACCACAACACTCTGTGAATTAGCCCCAATGGACTGCTTGCTGTTATCTGAACATACTAATTTCATCCCAATGTATTTGCAGCGTATATGCTGTTTTCTCTGTGTGATGTTCGTCTCTTCCGAGTGAACTTTGCTCGTTCTCTTAAGACACAGCTCAAGTATTATCTCCTTGAAATCTTTAGTTCCCAGGTGGCTGCTTTGTCCTCTGTGTTTTCATAGTAGTCCCCTACTTAGCATGTAAGCAATTTCTACCACATTTCTTTTTCACTTTCCTCCAAATAGTTTAAGTACTTAAGGGAGATTCAGAACAATTTATCTAGTGATTTAGATGTATATAACAAGTTCGAGCCTAGAATGGTTTCTGAGAAATAGGTTATATACAAAGCAGTGCTGCCCTTAGCAAGCGTTTTTTGGTCTAAGACACTAGGTATTAGCAGGGTTTGTCTGATGGCCTCCTTTATCTTTTGTTGTAATAAATGCAAACATTAGCTATACCCGCTGTCTCTTGAGTCCACTGTTCAGCAGGAGTAGGTCAATGCATAGCTTGATGGACTATTGAGTGATCCCTCTCTTTAACATCTCCTTTCTACCTGTGACCAAGAATAATGTCTGAAATAAAGTGTAATAAAGCATGCCTATCAAAGAGGCTAACACAGAACTGCAGATTTCCTGCTACAGATAGCTGTGGAAATAAAATCATAGTAGTCATTGATTATCTGCATAATGTTAAAACATGTAATTTACTCTAATTCTTAAGGGATAAGGGCCACTTTGTTTTTTCAGATTATAAGGCACTAGGCATCTTAAAGCGGCAGTTCCCTAATGCATCACTAATTGGGCTGACTGCAACTGCAACAAACCACGTTTTGACGGATGCTCAGAAAATTTTGTGTGTTGAAAAGTGTTTTACATTTACAGCTTCTTTTAATCGGCCAAATCTGTATTATGAGGTATGTAACTTTTATGTCGATTCATTACTTTCTTGAAGAATTATAGCAGAAAGGTTCTACCTTTATATTATGCTTGTTTACATGAGCAACAGTTAAGTACTTACAAAAATTTTTAACATTAGGAGGTAATCATAAGCAGATTCTGTAATTAGGCTTCATTCCTATATATTTTGCTACATAATCCTTTGTTAGGTTAAATGGAAGACACTCTTCCTGGGTGATACTTTTTATAAAATACATGAGTAAGTCACATATCTTTATTACATTTCTGTCTCCTCTCTTCTTGTGTAAAGATGGGAAGAAAGGATAGAGTGATAACCTAATAACATCTCTGTTCAAATTAATTTCTAAGTAATAGAAGTATTAATATGCCATTAAAGATTTGCCAATTCTATTTAGATTTTATTTGGTAAACTTGAAAATAAAAATAACGTAAGAGCTGTCTTTCCTTTCTTTTTAAACCCGTTTAAGAATAGATTGAATATTTTTTGGAGTTTTCATTAAAGAGTTATTTATGTTATGGTTTGTTTTTATAAAAGTGGCATCATAAAATAAAAGTCTTCATCTTTACAAGTTATTCACTGCTCATGCACTTGCTCTTCTCTGGTAACTTAAAAAAATAAAGATCAAGAAGAGAGTCTGGGAGGTAGAACAGATGAGTCAGATGGGTTGAGTCATATGAGTAGGTGAGAGAGTAATAGAAAAACACTATGCTCATGAAAGAACCGCATCTTGAAAGTTGTAAGTAGACAGCCTCTTGGATGGTGCTCATTCATTTACTTTTTAGTAAGTTAAGTTTTTTTCAGGTTCGGCAGAAGCCCCCAAACACTGAAGATTTTATTGAGGATATTGTAAAGCTCATTAATGGGAGATACAAAGGGCAATCAGGTAATATAAAAACAAACCAACTTTGGCAACAGAGATAACTTTCAAAAAGTGACTTAATATTATACTGATAATTACACTGATAACTGAATAACACCAAAAAAATACTGTATGGCAGAAGATAATTGAAAATGTGTGATAAAATTAATTCACTTGATGATCTTAGAAACTGGGTGAGACATTTGCTTATGCCACAGATTATGAGTCATAAAATTGCCTGATTTATTTTTGCTTATTTACACTTGCCTTAGAATAGACCTGATGACTTAATGTTAATTATCAACAGCACATATTTAGTAAGTACCCACTGTGTTCAAAATAGTGGATTAAGCAACTGATGTTCTAAAAGGATAGAAAATATACTCCCTTATAGTGAAGGACTCATTAAAGCAATAAGTAAATCCAGTAGTGTATATACTGAATAGATTAAGCACACATGGAGTTGTGAGTATATATACATGGTTTTCTAGGTTTAATGACTAGACAAGTATTACTAAAGCAAAGAATTTGTGTAAAAGTAGCCTTTTAAACTGTTCTATAGGTTTTCAGTAGGTAGTAGTGGGTGTCCTGGGTAAAAGGAGTTCTAGGGTCAAATAAATTTGAGAACAGTTGCAGGTATTTATTCTGGCTGGACATTCACAGGGTGTATCAGCAAATCACAGGGTGTATCAGAAGCTCTGACCATCCCTGAAAATAAAGAGAGACACCCATTTAACTTTGTTGAATGCAATGTTCTTCAAATTAATTTGCATGCAAATTAACCTAAAAGAGCCCAAAATTAATTTGAAGAGCACTGCATTCATGGCACATTTGTTAGCATCTTACAGACATCAGTTTGAGAAATACTGTGAGATAACATTAAAGAGAGAAAAGAGATAATGGGAAGGAAAACTGATGGCTCAGGGCTCATTTCTTCTTTAAAGTATGCTGGTGATCAAATCTGGAATTATACCAAAATCGATATATGCAGAAGTCCTTGAAATTTTTCATTATTCTTTTTTTCCTTCTGTGCATTGTATTAATCAATGTCCCGAATGTGTGTGTTGAAAATTATCTTCCAGGAATATACCATATATATCTAACAAATGTACGTATTTTACTACAGGGATCATATACTGTTTTTCTCAGAAAGACTCTGAACAAGTTACCGTTAGTTTACAGAATCTGGGAATTCATGCGGGTGCTTACCATGCCAATATGGAACCAGAAGATAAGACCAAGGTTCATAGAAAATGGTCAGCCAATGAAATTCAGGTTAGGTATATATCTTCCATGGAAGCCTAATTTACCTTTAAAGTCTTTAAACTTGATTTAATTAACTGATAAAATGTTAAAATATTTCAGGTAGTAGTCGCAACTGTTGCATTTGGTATGGGAATTGATAAGCCAGATGTGAGGTTTGTTATCCATCATTCAATGAGTAAATCCATGGAAAATTATTATCAAGAGAGTGGACGTGCAGGTATGTAGGACTCAAATCGAGAAGTACTTTTTTTTAAGAAAGCTTTTCCCAAAAGCATATTACAAATGTTTAATAAGTCTGTATATTTAACCTTTACTGGATAGTATTTTTAGAACCGTATTTTTAGCAGTTTTACACTTACTTGCATATGGAGAAACTTTTACTTATGTTCTGTTGTTATCTGAATTGTTTCTTCTTATGTGTGTTAATTTGATGTTTATCTTTGCCTCCTGAATTTTTAATTACTGGTTTCACATCTATAGCTTAACTGGATTATCGACACATATTTTAACTTAGTAAAGCTGATTATTGATGTCTCTTTAGAGTTCTTTTTTTTTTTTAATTTGAGGGTACCCATTACAAATTAACTTCTACATCTCTAAAATTTCCAGATGTGGTATAAAACATTGCCTTGCTAATTTTACATATATCATTTTTGTGTATTTTGAATTTTTCAAAGTAATTCCACAATCTCAAGGTTTCTGACACCACAGGTCGAGATGACATGAAAGCAGACTGCATTTTGTACTATGGCTTTGGTGATATATTCAGAATAAGTTCAATGGTGGTGATGGAAAATGTGGGACAACAGAAGCTTTATGAGATGGTGTCATACTGTCAAAACATAAGCAAGTAAGCCACATACCTTTTTATAACTTCTCTCAGTTAAAGCAAATATGAAAGTGTATGACATCATTTCATCATTTTTTAGTTCTTACTAAATACATTGGTGAAACACCAAAGTGCAGGTCCATAAAAGCAGATGTTGGCGGGTAGGAACCAGTACATCATCTATATTATCTGCCTTAATTCAAGGAAAGATGTCCTAAATTTGAGAGCTAATTCTCCAAAACTACTTTTTTAATTGAAGGTTTTTGAGGCATATGGATAGCAAGTTGAAGCGTTTTTTTTCTGTGGCACTGGTATATAGTTCCATGCTTTAATAATTTTGAAAAGGTCTATAGTTAAGATAGGAATTTTGAGAATCCAGCTCAGTAATGTGCCATTCTTCCAGCTCATGTGTTAATGAAATACCAAATTTCTCCTTAAGAAGTAAGTTTAAATCTACTTAGGGTGGCTTTAGACTACATAGCTTCCTGAAAGCTTTTTGTCATAGTTATCTTTGTGCTCTTATTGCCTGTCACAAGAAGTACTCAGAAATGTTGAGGTGGTAAACAGCAGCCAGTGATGGAAATGTTGTTTCTTTCCAATAGATGCTACAATAATCTAGTTAAAAGAAATGAGAAAATGAAAATGTCTTTAAAAGCCCAGTGTATTCTCATGAAGCGTATTTTAAGGTTTCAATTCAAATATTTCTACTTTAAAATATAAGAAACTATTTTGCTGTCACGAATATTCTCCTAATAGTTGTAAAACTTTGAATTTAAAAGTGGAACTCAGACAATTTCTTAAACAGTGTTTATCAAGAATATACAGGGAAAAATCATATGTGGGGGCACATATGAAAGTATATCACATCATTTCATCACTTTTAAGTTCTTACTAAATACATTGATGTAATTAGGACATGAACACAAAGATGTTCATGTCCTAATTCCTAAGCTGTATATTACCTCACATGGCAAAAAGAATTTGGAGTTGCACATGGAATTAAGGCTCTTCATTAGCTGATCTTAAAGTAGGGAGATCATTTCGGATTATCAGAGTGAGCCTAATGTAATCACAAGGGTCCTTAAATTTGGAAGAGGCAGAAGTGGTCAGATGAATGTGATGTAAAAAGAACTTGACACCTTGATTTTGATCCAGTGAAACCCACAGTACACTTCTAAACTACAGAAATGTAAGAATGAATTGTGTTTAAGCCACTAAGTTTATGGTAATATTATGGCAGGTATAAGAAGCTAATACTATATATAATTGTGTAATCTGAAATAGAGATTCTTAAAACCTTATTATATCCTTTAGTAATTTGTATCTTTAAATGTGTTTGCAGATGTCGTCGTGTGTTGATGGCTCAACATTTTGATGAAGTATGGAACTCAGAAGCATGTAACAAAATGTGTGATAATTGCTGTAAAGACGTTGGTGAGTTTGTTTTGTATACCTTTGTTGGCTAATATAGTCATATACTACCTAGTGACGGGGAAATGCATCCTTAGGTGATTTTGTCTTTGTGCAGACATCGAAGTGTACTTACATAAACCTAATGGTATAGTCTCCTGGGTTATATAGTATAGCCTATTGATCCTAGGCTACCAGTCTGTACCATGTGCTACTGCACTGCTATCGGGGAACTGTAACACAATGCTAAGTATTTGTGTATCTAAACATAGAATAAGTACAGTAAAAATATGGTATTATAATCTCTTGGCACCACTGTCATGTACATGGTCCATCACTGACCAAAACATGATATGGCACAAAACTGTATACAGAGCTAGGACATGAGAGAAATATTAGACTTCCCAATGGATTTAAAAGATTAAAGTGTGTATCAGATTTTCCAGAATTAAACATATCAACATAAAGTTTTGAAACAAAGGTGAATAAAAGGAAAAGTCATATGTGTATGCACACATTTTATATTGCTATACTAAGGATGTGAAACTTTTAAGAAATGAAGGAAAATGTTTGAATTCTTCCGAATAGAAATGCTATTCTATAAGAAAAGGCTAACCATGTGATAATCTCTAATACTTTATAGTCACTAATTCGGAAGAAAATGTAGTGCAAAATAGAGATTATAGTGAATCATTTTTGATCCAGTTAATGGCTAGTCATAAGAGATTTACTTAAAATTCTTTTAAAGGTAGGAGATCAGCAGGACTTGTTTTCTGAGCATAGGTCACAACCCTGCTGATCAAAACAGGATCTGGTCAAAACAAGACGTAGCAAAGAAATTGGCCCAAAGCAGTTAGAACTAGAAAATATAATGCATTTGCATGCTGTAAGACACTCCACAGGCACCATGACAGTTTACAAATGCCATGACAATGCCTGAAAGTTACCTTACATGGTTCTTGGAACTCCCTACCCCTTTTCTAGAAGATTCATGAATAATCTGCCTCTTATTTAGCGTATAACTAAGGTGCATCTATAAACATAGCTAGCAAGCAATCGACAGTGCCACTCTGCCTTTGGGGTAGCCCTGTGCTATGGAGCTGTCATTTCCTGTATTTTATTGCTAATAAACTTGCTTTGCTTTCACTTTACTCTGATGGCTTGCTCTCAAATTCTTTCTTGCATGAAACTGGGAACCCTCCTGGGCTGAGTCCCAGTTTTGGGATTTGCCTGCATCATTTCAGCACTGTATTTTAACTTTTATTCATCTGTGTGTTGTATTTGAAGAGCTGGACTAGCCCCTCATATAAGACCTTACAGAGTTCTGATGCCTTGGTAGGTGGAGGCCACTACATTTTTAACTTTGCAGACAGAGAAATTTATGAGTTTATTAGACTATCTTATAAACTAACAAGAGTGTAAGATATAAATCGGAGTACTGGTCTCTTAACAATTGGGGATATCCGTTAAAGACATTCTTGTTGCTAAATCAGAGTGCACAGGAGCCTATACTGGAATAGACAGGCTCTCCTATAAAGCACACGTCTTAGTAACTTAATAATTACATCTGGCAGACACTTTCTGATTTCTAGAGTATATGGCAGGGCTTCTGATAACCGCTTTTTTTTTTTTTCAGTATCACTGTAAACCCCTCAATGTTTACAGAGACCATAACTTGGTCTAGTGACAGAGACTTGAGGAATAGCCTAGTCTTAATTCACAATACATTTAAAAATCAATGTTTAGGGTGCCTCACATTGATAACTAGCTTTAAACCAGTTTAACTAATTAAGATAGCCTATGCTTGCCCTCATTTCTAAATCCCAATTACCTCTTACCATTTGTTTTATTATAGCATTTGAAAGAAAGAATGTAACAGAGTACTGCAGAGATCTAATCAAGATCCTGAAGCAGGCAGAGGAACTGAATGAAAAACTCACTCCACTGAAACTGATTGATTCTTGGATGGGAAAGGGTGCAGCAAAATTGAGAGTAGCAGGTGTTGTGGCTCCCATACTTCCTCGTGAAGACCTGGAGAAAATTATTGCACACTTCCTAATACAGCAGTATCTTAAGTATGTATAAACCCATTTATTACCTTTCATGTTGTCTTTATGGCTGCTCCTTTTTTAACTGGAACAGAATAAATGCTTTTGCAGTTATTTTGTGTGAACTTTTAAATGCTATAGAAAAGAATTTACCTGAAAAACTCAAACCTTAATCACTATAAATCAAAAAAGAACAAAACTAAAATATTTTCTATACAGGTTATATTTGCATTCTTGTAAGTTTTATTATTTCAAGTCAATGTGTTACTAAAAAATTATTGCACATATAGTTATTTCTTTTATAAATTTGTTTTCTGTGATTCCTTCAAAAGCTTTCTTATTGTTGGCCTTTATTTTCTGCAGAGAAGACTACAGTTTTACAGCTTATGCTACCATTTCATATTTGAAAATAGGACCTAAAGCTAATCTTCTGAACAATGAGGCACATGCTATTACTATGCAAGTGATGAAGTCCACACAGAACTCTTTCAGGGTAACTGGCTATTAATTTTCAGTTTTATATATTTTAAAAAATATATTGAAGCCTATGGGATGCTTTTCTGGCATATCCCCCTAGGTCCAGTTGAACATAGGGAAAGTCAGTTTTCTGATTAGATTTCTGGGTATGGAAGAGAGAAAACTAGGCATTTCCCATCTCTTGGAATGTGAGGACTCCATTTTAGTATCTAATTTTGTTATGCACCCTGCTCTTATGGTATTGGTTGTGATTACTAATAGTTGAGAAGTCTGTTTCTGCTCTTCCATTGGTTAAAAACCACTGTTATAAACCAAATACTATCAAGTCTGCTAAAGCATGTCAGGTGCCATTGTGTCTAAGGATATTTGAGGTCTTTAGAACTTCTCTCACAATGTAGCCCCTTTTATTCAAAATAGAGCTCATATTCGAATGGAAATTTATAGGTAAAAAAACTAGACCCCTTGATACTTAAAAAATCAACTGATAAAGAATATTTTGAAATTTTTAATCTCATGAGAAACTGAATAGCTGAATTTTTATTTTACCAAAGTGCTTGCTTTGTTATTTTTTTTGTAGGTTGAATCATCTCAAACTTGTCAATCTGAACAAGGTGATAAAAAGATGGAGGAAAAAAATTCAGGTAACTTCCAGAAGAAGCCTGCAAACATGCTTCAGCAATCTGGCTCTAAGAATACAGGAGCTAAGAAAAGAAAAATTGATGATGCCTGAAGTGAATGTTACCAGATTTTCTAATTAAAGATGTTTATGCATGTATACACCATTATTTTTGTAGTTAGACAAAAGCTTAATTTTAAAAACCATTTCATTGATATTTTATAGATATGGATCTATATTTTCAGAGCTTATCTCTGAAGATTTAAACTTTTGAGAACTTTTGAAAATTAGAGATCATGAATTATATAATTTTCCAGTATAAAACAAGGGAAAATTTTATGTAAAACCCTTTAAAAGCAAAATATTTGAGAATAAGTTCATATATTTTTTTATGCCTTTATATATTAGCTGTATTTTTTCTTTTTATATAACTATCTTTTTGAAAGCAGTATTATACTGACAGAGGCTCATTAAATGTGAATGATGCTTTTAAGTTGAATATGTAGATTAGGGATGTCCAATCTTTTGGCTTCCCTGGGCCATACTGGAAGAAGAATTGTCTTGGGCTGCACATAAAATATTGCTAACACTAATGACAGCTGATGCGCTTAAAAAAAAAGTTTCAAGAAAATCTCATGTTTTAAGAAAGTTTATAAATTTGTGTTGGGCTGCATTCAAAGCTGTCCTGGGCTATATTAGGCCTGTGGGCTATGAGTTGGACAAGCCTGATGCAGATGATTTCAGGTTATAAAACCAGAAGTACAATTCAAACAAAAAAGGAGTAAGTCATCAATATAAAATATTAGCAAATGAGATATTGCTATATCTCAATTTAAGTAAAATAAAACCTATTTTAAAGTTCAAGAAACCATAGCCATATTTTGACATTTCACAAAGAATGGTTCTCGTCTACTAGTATACATTTTGGCTAAGTAGATAGATGATAACTTAGCTAAATTTGCTCCAAAGCTAAATCACAAGTAAACGTATTTATGTTTAAAACACAGAAATAAACAACTTAAGACTTTTTTTCTAAGCAGTCAGTATTGTATTGGAAAGATATATCTATAAATAAATTATTTGAACTTTCACTTATAATTTATCATTATCACTTCTGTAATTTTCAGTGTGGTCATCATTAACTCAGTGCAGTCATTCATTTTATTGACTTGTGATTTTTTTGGTGTCATTTGGAACATTATACAATTCTTGAAGAAATTCTATTTTCAGTCAAAATAATCTTCTATATCAATATTTGGATCTAGCAGATCTTCTCCATATGATGAAAGATTCATTTGGTTTAAAATTAGGTTTTCAAATGTTTCTTCTAAATCAGTTTCACCGATTAAGACAGCTCCCATCATTCGTCCATTTTGCATGACGACTTTGATGTATTCTTGCCCTTTGGTACATCTCAGCATTAATTCATGATCTGAACCTAAGCCCTGTGCGTTGTATTTTCCCAGCAGTACAACCTATATTTAAGGATAAAAAGGTTATTGTCATGAGTATCAAAAAGAAAATGTAATGGGTATTTTGTGCCATGTTAGAATAGTCAACAGAAAAATTATGCCACAAAATTTTGTAACTAAAAATGTTATTAGGGAGAGTCCCAAATAAAATGTTTGAATAGCATGCATTAATTCTACCGATGGCATTACCACACAATCTACACTGACATTAAAAAATTCTTATGAATATAGTCAAATATTAATGTTTAATATTTTTAACACAAAAAATATCTAGTGAATAGCGAGGTGATACTACCAATCTGTAGGAACATGAAAACTATACAGTGAATATATAAATATGTAGGAGGTAGACTACATTACCCTGGAGTCATGGTTTAAAGATTTAGCAAGGAACTGAATTAGATCTTTCACGAACTACTTAATTTCCCTGAGACTTATGAATATGTTTCTCCTTCTTTGTAAATTAGGGAGAAAAAAAAACTAACAACGACAAAAAAAACCCAAACGACCTTCATCAGAATACTGTAAAGAGGACTGAATAAGATAACACATACAGGAAAGCACTTGGTTTTTTTTTTTGAGTACGATAGCTGTTAGTTCCCTTCACAAAGAAAGGATGAATCGCAAGTAAAAGTTAAAAATGCACCAACAGCGAACAAATCTGGAGATAAATTTTTTTCCCTCTTAACTAAAATAGCATAGTGGTAAGGTAGATAATTATCAGATGATGAGGGATTGAGACTAGCAACAATACCAGGTATTGGTTTGTAAGAAATGAAAAATGCCATTTTTTGGTAAAATGATTAAAATCAAGTATGTTTTTATTTAAGTGAGATAATTAGATGATCTATCATAGTCATAAGACTAACAAGCAGCAAAGGCATTAATATGCTATCTTACCTTATAGTTAAAAAATTTTGTCACGTGAGCAAACAGTTCAAAGCTGAAATCCATGTCTATAGAGTCTCCTGAACTCTCTGCAGCCATGCACTTTGCTGCGTACCATCCCATCTGCCTAGCCTGGGTCCACAGCCTCATCTGAAATAACGAAAAAATGTTTTACAATGTCATTTTTTCATGATCATTATTTGAAAAATGTTATCTTAACCTTGTAAATTCACTTAAAGGAGTTAAATGACAGTCTGTCATCTTTGCCACAGAAGCCGTCACCAATGGACAACTAATCAGACTAATTTTTGGTATTATATCTAAATTACTGCCACTAAATTTAAAAGATGCTACCAAATCATACCAGTTTTAGTAGCATTTCTATTAAATACTATGAAACTATATTAAGCTATACCAGGTGAGAAAAAATGTTTAATTAACCAGTCCCTTTTTCAAAGTTTGTCATCACCATTAATAGAGAGGTCAAATTATCACTGAAGAACTTGTTCTATTTTTCAGCAACCTTCATTCTTATACACACATTAAGGTCTGCCATGCTGTTAACCTCAGTGGTCAGATTGTTGGTGCCTCACCCCAAGACAACATATATATTTCAGCAACTGATTCTGGGAAGTCATTTAAATTCTTTTGTATGACAGGATTAATTTATCCTCTATTGTATTTTTATTTAATTTCTACAAAGTTTTGAGACTCCCTGGTATAAAAGAACACTGACCTTGGGAGTCACAGTGGGTTTGAATATCAACTTATCTGCATGTATAACTTTTCTGAGCCTCAGTTCATTTACCTGAAACATAAACATAATACTACCTACTCTGTAACTATTGAGAAAATTAAATAGGTTAGCCTATAATAAGCAGTTGGTTTCCTTCTGCCTCTCTGTATGTGCATATGTACCTAATGCTGTCTTTTGTTTGCTGGAATAATATCATAATCATGGACATAAGCTTTAAGCATTTCTAGCAGAAGTGATGTAGTTTTTTTTTTTTCAATCTCCTCTCTGTAAACAAGGTATTATAGATTTGATGAAGTGAAAGGCAGTTTATGGCAAGGGATCAAAATAAACTGCATAGTAACAACTAGAGAACAGCTAATAGGAGTGGCCTGAAAGTTTGCATCTTGGACTGCATAAACTAATTAGTATCCTTATTGCTTGTGTAAGCTAAGAAATGGGGTCTATAAGGTGCACTCAAAACAAGGGACGCCTTTTTATTTTCGGATTTTTTTTCTCTCTTTCAGATTGTAACACATTAAAATATAATTACCCTAGAGAATTAAAAATGTTAAAAAAAACACACACACAAACTCCAGCTCTTAAAAATTTTTGATACTCTTGCCACAGAAATGACACAGAATGAGGCAGGTTAGAAACAGCAAGGGTGGAACCACTCTCTTATTATTGATGTCTCTACTGTCTGTAAGAACACAAAATGATGGTGCTGCCTTTTGAAATACTTATAGCTCTTCTACTACTACATACTGCATAGTTAATCTGAATGAATAATGTCCCTAACTGTGGAGCTGGTCTTTAACAAAGATAAATTTTGATGGGTTCCTTGATCTCAAACATCTACCTAGGTCTCTAGGTCTCTGCCCCTCCTCACACTTCTGGTCACTGTCTTTATCTTCCTCTGGTATTTTTGTTACACCATTAGAAGAAGGTAGGTAAAGCTATGATGATAGGGAAAAGTCTAGAGCCAGTTGGGACTTGTTCAGGCTCAGGAAAGGTGTTTACTATAGGAATTTTTTTTTTTTTTTTTTGAGACAGAGTTTTGCTCTTGTTGCTCAGGCTGGAGTGCAGTGGCACGATCTTGGCTCACTGCAACCTCCACCTCCCAGGTTCAAGCAATTCTGCCCCAGCCACCTGAGTAGCTGGGATTATAGGCGCGTACCACCACACCCAGCTGATTTTTTGTATTTTTAGTAGAGATGTGGTTTCATCATGTTGGTCAGGCTGGTCTTGAATTCCTGACCTCAGGTGATCCACCTGCCTTGTCCTCCCAAAGTGCTAGGATTACAGGTGTGAACCACTGCACTCAGCCAGGAACATTTTTTAGTAATAATTACCACAGGGACAGAATAGGATCGTGCAGGAATAGAATGCTTTATCTATATAATTTACAATCTTAGTAGTTTTGTTTTTTTAATCTAAAGTTGTGCTGTCCAACATGGTATTGGACACTAGACACATATAGCTATTTAAAGCTAATAAAAAGTAAGTAAAAATAAAAATTCAGTTCCTTGGTCACATTAACCACATTTCAAGTGATCATGTGACATACTGTGGCTACCTGACTGGATGGTACAGAATTACCAAGATACCATTATAATAATAACTTACCAAACAGGGAAAATTTTAGTTTTTTTTTTTTTTTTTTTTTTTTTTAAATATATATAACAACTCTGTGCTAGCTTCCTACTTAAGCAGAAATGTTGGAAAACCGGAAGTTGGATATATTAGTAACAACCGCTTTATTTTCAGGCAGAATCTCTGATAAAAACATATGGTCACATATGCTAGCTTACCTGCTGCCAGACTGGGCTCAGCTGCCAGGATGTAGTACAGATGTCACCAGCAGCATAGACATCAGGAAGGGATGTGTGCATATGATCATCCACTTTCAGGCCACCGTCTTCTCCTAGATCAAACTAAACAGTGTTCCTCATAAACTTAAGTGTTAAGAAAAATGAAACGTGATTTTTTCATTCTAAAGTAAAAGAACAAATTAAATTTTTACACTTCAGCATGCTCATCTTTAATGAGAAAATGAAAAATAGCCACAAAGTT